TATGGTGTAGGCTCTGTGAGACTCTGTGAGAGTGATATGGTGTAGGCTCTGTGAGATTCTGTGAGAGTGATATGGTGTAGGCTCTGTGAGACTCTGTGAGAGTGATATGGTGTAGGCTCTGTGAGATTCTGTGAGAGTGATATGGTGTACCCTCTACGAGTCTTTGTCCGACTGATATGGTATAGACTCTATCAGACTGTGAGAGTGAGACAGCATACCCTCTGTGAGATTCTGTGAGAGTGATATGGTGTAGTTGCTGTAAGACCCTGTGGGAGTTATACGGTGTACCCTCTATGACACTCTGTGGAAGTGATATGGTGTACCCTCTGTGAGAATCTATGGGAGTGATATGGTGTAGACTCCGTGAAACTTTGTCAGACTGATATGGCGTACCCTCTGTGAGACTCTGTGAGAGTGATTCGGTGTACCCTCTGTAAGACTCTGTGAGAGTGATATAGTGTACCATCTGTGAAACCCTGGGAGTGATATCATCACAGAGTCTCACAGACTCTGTGAGAGTGAAATAGTGTACCCTCTGCGAGCCTTTGTCAGACTGATATGGTGTAGACTCTGTCAGACTCTGTAGGAGTGATATGTGTACCCTCTTTAAGATATTGCTGGAGTGATACGACGCAGACTCTTTGAGACTCAGTGGAAGTGATACAGTGGCCCAGGCAGGTAACCCAGAGTTGGGGGTTGCTGGGCCCCAGAGTAAGCAGGACAACCCACGGACAGCTTCTGCCTGACAGCCTGACCCAGCGTAGAGACACGGCAGCTTTAAGACCATCGCCTGTCAGGAGTGGGGGGTTGTGTGATGCCGAGTCAGGCTGTCCTGACAGTGGCACTCTGATGGGAAAAGCTCCAGATAGCCCCCCAGCTGCCTTCATCTGCACTCCCGCCCTCTCCCTGGCTCTCAAGCCCACGTGGGGGAATTCATTACCAGAGCCAATTTACTGTTTAGACTCGGATGTTTTAACTAATTACCACTAATGGTGACACAACAGCAGCTAATGGAGTTAATTGAATAGAAAGTGAGGGGCTGTGGGTGGCACTCTGGGGAGGGGGGGAGGGTCTGCCCAGATCTGTCTGTGTTGGCACTGGGCTCCCGCCTAGCCCTCTTGTTGCTGCCATGGCAGACAAAGGGGCATGTGCAGTTTCACTCAGGTGGGAGGGGAACATGTGCAGATATAGGAGGAGGGGGGGGACATGTACAGATACACACATCATACTGGGGGGGAACATGTGCAGATACATTGACGCGGGGGGACACAGGATGAGGAGCAGCCAAAGACGAGCTTGGATGCCTTTCAGGAGCTCCTCTCAGTCCATAATTACTGTAAGCCAGACGCTGCTTTGGTCATTTACACCATCATGACGCAGATCAAAGATTTTTCTAAAAGGTCAAGTAACAATGACTCTGTCAGCATGAAAAATAATCTGCAGAAATGGGAATTTTAATCAGAACCAAAGTGTTTTAGCCACAATGGGGTAATTGTACCCAGGCCCGGGAATCTCCTGCGTATAACAGGGAGGTCAGGATTGCACTTTTCTGCTCTATTAAAAGGTAAGAGAACTTCTCGAGAAGGTAATCCCGACCCAGCGAACAGGCTCCTGCGTATAAAAAGCGATAATAGCACAGAGGCTTAATGATTTCAGGGTGGGGAGGGTCAAAGCTCACAGAGCTGTCTGATGGAGCTCCTCTGGCACCATGGCTCTTGCCAAGTGCTCTGGGCTTTTCCTGCAGGAAAGAGAAGAGCTCCATGGCGGAGCAGGACTTTAATCCTTTCCCTACAAGCTCCTGCCTACAGGTCCTACTTTACCCGAGACAAAGCCCCCCCAGAGGACAGAGCCGGTGAGTTTCTGCTCTCTCTGGACTTCGACTTCTTGATTGGGACGTTTGATTTAATGGGGCATTTTCCATGATGGGGATGATCTTCTCATGCTGCTGCAGGGGGAGGGGGGTGCAGGACTGTGATTTCCATGGTGCTTGAGAGCCTCAGGGGGTTTAATGAAGAGTGGGCTTGGCTTTATGAGCAAGCTGCAATGAAGCCTCCCTTCCACATGTTCCTCCTTGCAGCTTCTCAACAATCTGCTTTCCCGCTGGGTGTAAAATTACAGGAACGCCCCAGCGAGCAGGTAGCCGCCTCATGTAACCCCCCCGGAGGCCCCCCCAGCTCTGCCCAGAGGTCCCGGCATTTCCTATTGCGAGTCCCCCCCATCCGTCAGCCCTTCGCCGCTCTGGCACCGGCTAACACCTCAATCGCCCAAACCACTTAAACCCTAAGCCCCCCCCCCCGGAATGATTCTGGCTCACCGGGCTGTTAACACGGCACCTGTCAGGAATCAAAGGCATGGGTGGGGGGGCTGCGAACAGGACAAATCCACCCCCCCACCCCGTGCTGGCCCAGCCTCCCACTGCCACAGTGGTCCAGAGGATCTCTGTCAGCACCACTGAGCTCCAGAATTATGGCCTGCGGGAGGGGGGACAATAAAGCAGGGAAATAACAACACCACTGCTACTTAGTCAGCCATCTCTCGCACAACAGGAAGTGATTTATCCCCCTGTCAGCAGGTACTGATGATGTAATCACTCAGAGCCAATGCCGTGTGCCGACGTCATCTGACACCCTCCCACTTTCAGGCTCAGCTGCTGCCTTTGCTTCCCATATACTTTCCATAAGCATTTCATGTATTTATTTATGTATGTACTTCATTTCCCTGTTTGGATTTGGCAACTGAAGAAATCATAACACTGCAGCTGGCACCTCTGCTTCTCTGAGGCCCCTGCTGGTCAACATTGGCTATTGCACCACATATGCCGCCACCCCCGGGGAGACCCCGCACACCATTATCCATATTCATCCTGCTGATGCTGTGCTGTCTGTCAGCAGCACCTGTGGACCTGTCTCGCAGCGGATCGGAGCTGCTCCGGTAACCTCGCCTGGGTGTGCATGCCCCCGCCCCTCCCCCGCTCGCTGTGAGCACAGTGCATGCTTCTGCGAGCAGCTCTGGGCAACGTGGCTGTCTTTGTGGGCCATGGGGCTGTTCTGAGTGGCTGCTCCAATCAATAGAGGATTAAAAGAAGCTAAAGTGATTGCTCATCTGTAACGTTGCTGGCCAGATTGGAGCCCCCAGCCCGGGCCACACGCACATGCACTTTCCCGGAAAAGCCACTCAGACAGTCACGGGCATCACAAACCCCCTTCCCATCTGGGATGCTGTTTCACCAGCTGTGGACGCAGGGAGGGGGAAAGTTGCATGTGATTGGCAGGCAATGGTGGTGTTTAGCAGTTTTCACATTAGAGAGAGGGAAAATAAAGAAATATGGGGGTGTAATAGCAGCGGGGGGGTGGGGGGCTTCGCATGTCTGCTGCCTGTCTGGAGACCGAAATCTCAGAGCAATTTCCAAGGGGTCTGATTGGCAGATTGCTGTGTTTCCTCTCCCTCCAGACCGGGCGATAAGTCCAAACCGCTCGCCACTCCTGCCTGCTGTGGCCCATTACAATGACAATGGCGATAAGAGACATTTATCACTCCTACCTCAGGGTGACGAAGAGAGCCCAGAGACATGTCCGGGGGGAGAGGAGCAGGGGAGGAGCAGGACACGGAGCAGAGAGCCTGAATTACAGCATGCCGTGACATGTTAACACCCTGGCAGGCCGTCCGCTTCCCATTCAGAGCAACACACGGATTGGTCCTCCTCATGTTCACCAACCCTAACCTCACAGAAATTACGTCACCGATGGGACGCGGGGCTGACTGGCGGTGCCACTGTGGCGTGGCACGGGGCGGCGCCTTTGTGCCCTGGGCTCAATGGACCAATTGTGACACCGGCTGAGATGTGGTACGGACAGAACCTGCAGCTGTGAAAACAAGGCAGCTCTGGGTATCGTCTAGCTGGCACCGCCAACACATGCTGGGCACGCACCGCCCTGAAAGACACTCCCACCAGTCTGATGCCAGGGCAGTGTGCTTGTGACAAGCCAGGTCTGTATCAGGGTCCCCTCCTGACCCGCCTGAGGTGACTGTGACGGTGTAGCCTCTCTAACAACCTCAATTTTAGAGGTGTCCTTGAGGAGGTAACACCACTGCCCCCTACAGGGCTGGGCTCATTCACATGGGCTCTCGCAACAAGGAGACGGAGGGAGTAAGCAGCCTATAAGGTGTGATGCCAGTGGCCTATAAACATACCCACTGCCATCACAGTGCATGTGAACACGGTTACTCTCACCACAGTCCATATAAACATACCCACTGCCATCACAGTGCATGTGAACACGGTTACTCTCACCACAGTCCATATAAACATACCCACTGCCATCACAGTGCATGTGAACATGCTTACTCTCACCACAGTCCATGTGAACACGTTTTCTGTCATCACAATCCATGTGAACGTTTCTGTCACCATAGCTTGTGTAAATATATTTTTGTGGAAAACAAATTAAACTTTGCTTTGAGAATGACCTGGCCTTTAATTCTATTGTGGAAGACAGGAAAGGAGAGCCCAGAGATAGGGTTCAGCTAGCTTGTGTTTAAACACAGAAGAATGCACAATGATGCTTTGTTGATATGTAATTCTTCCATGGTTTCTGTTGGTGATGGAAGAATGATGCAGTACATACAATGATCAGTGTTCACTGAACTATGAAACACTGAAGCAACTTGGATAGGCAGTCCTCATGACTTGAAGATGTTCTACGCCAATGCAGGGAGTGTATCTGAATGACTTCCCAGAAACAGAGAAAGTGCCCCCACAGATATGAGAGCTCCAGAGCACCATACAGTTCTCCCAACCCCCTCAAGCACCCCATAGCCAAGCATGAAGAATAGCTGCAGTTTGAATTCCCACCAGTAGGTGGGGATAGACATGAAAGTAACTGTATGGCACTGAGGCTGCCCGTATGCACAAAGTGTTTAATCGCCCTCACGCGTCAACATTGTTAAAAATATGGCTAGAGCACCGTGCTGAATAATGCTCCTGTGATTACATTTTTATCTCAACTGTTATTTGACAGCAAACATCTTATTTCAAACCCCAGAGCTATTAAAGCCTCTGCTTAAGAAAGCAACTTAGCAGAGATCCTTGTGAGTTGGGCCGCTGACGTGTTCAGGGCTGGGTCGAGCCAGGCCGGTGGCACCAGCCGTGGGCAGAGGTCTGCGATAAGCCGGAGTCTCCGCCATGACCCACCCTGTTTATTGACCGACTCCAGCCAGTCTGGAGTTCATTGGGAGCCACCATTATCTCTCCAGAGATTATTAAAAATTAATTGATTCCTGCAGTATTATCCATAGTCTAACCCAACCCGCTGCAGATGACACTACAGCCAATAAACGTACATTTGTGTTTTTTTTCTGCCTTTTTTATGACCCCTGTCAATTCCTGGGCCCGTTATCAGGTCATAAATTCATTAGGTGCTAACACACCTAGCAGAAGCAGCCCTTTAGTTCCAACAAACAAGATTAGAGCACGGCAGAGGCTGCTTCAGGAACAGGAGCCCAGCCATAGGGGTTAGGGTGCAAAACCGTGCCGCATCATCCCTGAAGACCACCAGGGGAGTTTTACCTCTCTGTCCATCTCATATGTCACACCAGAAAATCTTAAAGCTTGGGTCAGAACTGAGAAGCTTGGCTCTTCTGACAGGAGTAGTGGTGTAAAAAACACTATAATGGCAGTGTAAAAAACACTGTAGTTGCAGTGCAAAATTACACTATTAGAGCAGTGTAAAATTTCTGTAACAGTGGTGTAAAAATAGCAACAGTGTAAAACACTGGGAGTGTAAAAAACAGCAGTGTCAGGATCTGTCTCTGTCATGTTCCTTTCTGGCCAGCAGATGTCGCTAGCCATCCCTTTTCTCCCTAATGTGTCAATTACTCACACCTGTCTCTTGTTAATGACTTTCTTTCTGTGAATATATGTGCCTTCCCTTGCCATGCTCCTCAGCTCGGTCATTACTGTTGTTCTATAGGCTTTCTGTGTGAGCCCTGAAGTTTATTGTTGCTGTTTACCCTATATTTCCCATTTCTTCAGATTAGCCCTTGTCCATTCCTTTTGGATCCCCTCTTGTCTTTGGTTTTGACTGTTAGTGATTACAGCAGTGTGACAACAGTATAAAAAACTGTGTAAGCGCAATGTTACAGCAGTGTGACAACAGTATAAAAAAATGTGTAAGGGCAATGTTACAGCAGTGTGGCAAAAGTGTAAAAAATGTGTAAGGGCAATGTTACAGCAGTGTGACAACAGTGTAAAAAACTGTAAGCGCAATGTTACAGCAATGTGACAATAGTGTAAAAAATGTGTAAGGGCAATGTTACAGCAGTGTGACAACAGTGTAAAAAACTGTGTAAGGGCAATGTTACAGCAGTGTGACAACAGTGTAAAAAATGTGTAAGGGCAATGTTACAGCAGTGTGACAATAGTGTAAAAAATGTGTAAGGGCAATGTTACAGCAATGTGACAATAGTGTAAAAAATGTGTAAGGGCAATGTTACAGCAATGTGACAATAGTGTAAAAACTGTGTAAGGGCAATGTTACAGCAGTGTGACAACAGTGTAAAAAACTGTGTAAGCGCAATGTTACAGCAGTGTGACAATAGTGTAAAAAATGTGTTTTACACTATGTTACAGCAGTGTGGGAACAATGTAAAAAAGCATGAAATGGCAGTGTAAAGGCAAGAATAAATCCCTGTTGCTTTCAAGACAAATAATAAAAACATTGCAGACAAAGATGGGCTCTTTCTCCTGCATTTTCCCTATGGGGTGTAAATTGTGAAAAGTCAGAAATGAAGAGCTCAGCAGCAGAGCCTGTAGTAAGGGGGTGAACGGGGACATTAATTAAATTAAAAGTATAACAGGCTTTGTTTAAATCCCAATAACACCATAAAGTCACTGGTATCCATTAGAAGGAGCACACGGGAGTTTCACGAGCACCGCTGCCGAAAGAGACGCAGGAAGCCGACTAGAGTCTGTCATATTAAATTGGCAAATAAGGCGGGACAGGCCTGCCTGACAACAGCAAACAAGAGACAGCTGTGGGTCTTTATCTGAGATTAAAAGGAGGGCGGCGAGGCTTCGGGCGTCAGTGCCGAATCACAAAATCAATCAGCACGGAGCCGCGCTTATCGGGAGCAAAGCCCCCAGCAGTAGGCAGACCACCTGAAATGCCTGCGCACAAACGCCTGTGTGTGTGCGTGTGTGTGTGTGTGTGAAGAAAACATGTAACAGCTAAATAAAGCAAAGAAAGGAAAAAAGCAGACATCTGTATGTATTTATGCATTGAATAAAAAACTAATGAGGTAGCCATCAGGACCGAGGTCCAGCCCACTGCTGTTTGTGGAGTTGGGATTATGGGCTCCACAATTCTTGAGGTGGGAGTGAGCACCAGCGCCACTCAGTGGTCATTGATGCCTGCGCGAATCAGACGCTATTGTGGAAAGGCGCGCCTTTGCTTGATGCCTTTGAAATATGAGAATATCTTGTTGTGACTGACGCCACTCACATCTCACCCGCGACTCGAGGCGTCGACTTCCCAGATCTGAAGGATGCCATGCATCATGAGGAGTACAGCTGAGGGAGCGTCCCTGGATGGAGGAGAGGCCTCCAACAAAGAGGAAGACCTTACTAACTGGCTGACCCATTTGCCCCTGGTGAAGGTGCTACTAAGTAGCTCAGGTAGCTGAGGCTCCAGCCTCCAGCCTGGGCACCTTAGCAGGTGAACGCGGGGGGTCCCTACAGGAAAGGGTGGTGGTGGCAGCCTGGTGCCGGAAAAGGAAGTGCTGTACCTGTGCTGAAATGCGTTCGTTAGCCTGTCGCTAACCACAGCCAGAGACTACACCCCTCCCCCGTTTTCCTCAGCGCAACGGCCAGGCAGGTGCCTGCTGAGCGTTCCTGGCAGAGGACACCATTCACTGAGATCAGCCAGAACACAGGAATGTGGGAGGGAGCAGGAAGGAGCCCCCTTTGGCGTGTACAAGCCTCCCTAGTCCGCAGCCGCGTAACGCGTGATCATCCTTCTCATCGGGATTCATTAGTCAGCCACTGATCCTAATTAGGCAGACCTCATCTGCAGCGGCGTCTGCGGCCAGCGCCAAGTGTCCTCGTTAGCTGGGGTGTCAGGACGACGCTTATAAAGCCCCCCCGGTACTGGCTGCCCTCTCTCTATAATATGGCCATCAGCATTAAAGCTGTCAGGGTGTAAGTGTCGAGTGTTACAGCTCACGCGTGCCGCGCCTGCCCCGCCGGCCCAGGGTTGCCGCTCCACCTTGTGGGATAGCTCCTGGAGACCGCGGGGGACGGGGCCTGCTTCAACAGAGGCGTGAATGGCGGAGGGCAAAGCAGCAGATCATATTCTTTATCCACAAATAGAAGAGGAAAGTGGACAAGACAGGACGTACCTGTGATGTCATACGGGGGGGCGCCAGCCGTTGCTCAGGAGGCTGACTGACAGTGACAGGCAGAGGGAAGGGAAAGGAGCCCATCCCAAAGCAAGAGACCAGCCTGCCACGGTCCCGCTCTGGGGGCGTACAGGACGGACCTGCCCCCAAGCCCTTTGCTCCCCCCCCCCCCCAGGTGCTTCCTACATATTTATCACATTTGCAGGGCCCCTTCTCCTGTCACACCTAGCAGAGTGGGTGGCCGAGCCCCCGCTTTGGTCCTGGGGGGCCAGAAAGGAACGTGTCAGCCATACTTTCCCTGCAGTAACGATTCTCTTCTTTTACTTCCAAGCGAAAAAGAAAAAAAAAATCCCTGATGCAACGTGGAGAAAGAGTGCAGAGAAAGGAGTGCAGCAGCAGGCTGAGATTAGCCGTGCCAGCGCCAACGTGACATGTGCCAGCCTTATGAAGACAGACGCGGCCGGGATGGGCTAACTGACCTTTCCGAAATGTCACATGTCAGCAGGGTTTTACGTTACACTCTGACAATATGTCAGGGGCATAAAAAATCATTATACCATACAATTATGTTGTACGGAACAAAAATAATAATTAAGATGTTATTATTCAGGGCCAAACGGAGATGGCAAATTCATGACTGCCGTGGGTGTGCTTGTGCCGCTCGTGTGCTGATCCAGCACCATCCCTGAGAAGCACATCTGTCTGTCAGAGGACATTTTATACTCGCCAGCCTGGATCAGTGATGCCTGTCTCTATCCATCTCCCAGCAGATAAAACACCCAGATCTCCCTCCCTAAGTACTTCCAATGGCAAAGCGCCACTTCAGTCTTAACACACAGACTCCAGATGTTCATCTCTCTTCAGAGACGGTGTCTGACTGAATATTATGTGTTGAGATATCGCTTCAAATTCCAGTATCAGGAAGAGCAGTATTAGACGTATCAGTGGGAGCAGGGATAACAGTAGCAGTAGCAGTAGGAGAACAATAGCAATGGGACTAAATGTAATAGTAGCAGTAGGAGTAACAGCAATAGTAGTAGTAGAGGTAACGGTAGCAGAATGACTAAATGTATCAGTAGAAGTAGGAGTAACAATAAGAGTAACTGCAGCAGTAGCAGTGGGGGAAACAGTAGCAGTAGGAGTAACAGTAAGAGTAATAGTGGCAGTAGCAGTTTGGGTAACAGTAGCAGTAGGAGTAACATTTAGAGTAACAGCAGCAGTAGCAGTAGGGGTAACAGTAGCAGTAGGAGTAACAGTAAGAGTAACAGCAGCAGTAGCAGTAGGGGTAACAGTAGCAGTAGGAGTAACAGTAAGAGTAACAGCAGCAGTAGCAGTAGGGGTAACAGGCTCGTTCTGGTGTGACAGGCATCATGTTTCTGTGTCTGAGTACAGCCAGCAGCATGCAGAGCTAGCTGGGGGCCACAGTGGGGTCATAAATCTCCCCCAGCACCGCACGGACCTACACCTGTCCTGTGTGTTAATATGCATCAGGAAAGCCAGTAGACATGGAAGCCTGTGTGACGGTGTGTCTGGTAAATCAGGCTGATTAATGTTGCTCTGCTTTTCCAGGTTGCAAATAAATACTTTCTTTTGCAGTCGTTTAGGACAGAGAGCAAGCGGATCTCTAACGACGGTAAGCTCCGTGAGTTGCGGCCCATCAGGAAGCTGTAATGAACAGCTTCCCCCCCCCCCACTTACACAACTCTCATAGGCCTTTACATTTTCGTGAAAGTTCACTGTTTTACACTGTTTATTAAGAGCTGCTGCTGAGTTTTTGTCTCCCTTATAAAAAGGAACCTTACGGGCTGCACAGGAGTAGTGCTGATGCAGAGAGACCCGGCTGTGCGTAAGCAGCCTAAGGCAGCCGCCTTTAATGTCCGCGCCACGCACTCCCGTCTTATGGGTCTTTGTAATTGGGGCTCATTGGAAACAGCTTGCGATGTGGCTGCACTTTTTTGGGTGTCTATAAAGACTGCAGATGCAGCTGCTGGAAATGAGGGGGGGGGGTAGGGATTTCTGCTGATGTGTCTGAGATGTGCTGTGTGAGGAGAGCGCTAACACCACCCAGGACGACACCTTTAAACACACACACTGAAGCCACTTAAACACACACACTCCGTCAGCCACAGAAGGCAGAGTAGGGTACCTCTGAAAATGAGTGCAGGAGCAAAGCACCTGCCAAATCTGTGAAATAACTGCAATAATTTCACCAACAAAAGGACACTAATACATGGTGTTCTGCCCTTGAAACCCAGCAGAGAATCAGGAACCTAGTCAGCCTCTGGAACAGCACCTCCTAGTGGTGGGAGGCTATGCTAGTCTCCATGGCCATCATCTGTTTTTAGGATCAGTACCTGGTGCTTAGCCCAGTCCTACAAACTGCCCTGCTGGATCTAGCTCCCCCCCCCACTCAAAACAGGCCTCCTCCCTAGCCCGCAGGGGTTTGTGGAGCGCGTGTTTGAGTGTGTTTTCCAAAACGCAGGAATTTGGTAATTTATTCAAAATGAAGCCAGATCCGTGGGCGGGTGCAAGTCCATTGAAGTCTGGTACCCCACCGCGTGGCGGGTGTGAGGCAGCCCCACAGGAAAAAAGTGCGGAATGCGTGCGGGATTAGAGGCAGACGGGCCGGCACTCTGTGGGAATAATGGAGCCCTCATCGAAATTCAGCTGGAGTGACATCACTGTGCCGCTTCTTTGAGAGGAAAGCGGGGATTAACAGCCCCGTCTGCATCCAAAACGGAGGAGCTCAGACATGCGTAAGTGGGGGTGCACGCTGGCTGGGGAGGGTGGGGGGGTATTTGGGGCTCCCCCCTGGCCCACACTGACACCACATCCTGTTTGACAGAAGATGGATCACAGCACTGCCAGGACTATGTCAATGGGTGTGAAAGGGACAGATGTGTAAGGG